ATTAATGGAAAATAGCAGTCACCTGCCTCCATTAGAAAACTACCTCCTTGAATCAAAGATGTGGCATTTACTGCTGCTTAAATCCAAGGACCCAGTGTCTCCATCACCTTGCAAGAAGGAAACACAGATCAATGTAAGGCTTACAGCTGCATGATTGTTTTGATCAGCTGCTGAGTGGCGCCTGCATTTTAGGATTTGTTGTTGAGGAAGGAGATAGATATTCTTAGATTGTAAAGAAACTGTGTTAATAATCATGTTAGATGCTTTTTTTGTTGTTCTAAAATGAGGCTGATTTACCACTCTGTAAGTACATTTTGGAAACCTTTAACTCTGCCTGTGAATATCTTAAGAGAAGATAGGTGTCACAAAACTGTTCCCATTTTCCTCTCCACTGGCCAAGTAGGACATGCTGACTTATCAGAGTCCCCTTTCAAGGTACTTATTAGGCTCCATTTTATAGTTACTAATAGTCTCCTCTCTCCTTCCACATTCTACTCCTGCTTTCTAGAGTGCAGCTGACAAACTCCTTAAGGGCAGAGGTCATGAATCCTCTTGATCTTGAGTCCCTGCTGCTGCACATCTGCTATGTGCTGTATGCCTGGTGACTGGGGGAGTCCAGGGCTAGGCTCACAGCATCAGGGGGTTTCCCTGAGAGGTCAGAGCTAGAGCGAAGCTGGTCTCAGACAGGCAGAGTTGTGATGCCTGAAACAGACCTGGTTCTTCCAGTAACATCATCACTTCCAAGACCTGTCCATGCCTTCTCTGAGCTACTGTCTCCTAAATTTCAAGGCAAGACCTCTGCTTGCCTCTCACATGGATGTTGTAAAATTCAAATGACAACATATCTAAGAGAGTGTGAACCTTCAATAATACCCTGATCTGGGATTATCCAGGACCCACATTAATAATTTTCTGATAACTGGATCTTTTATCCCATGTAGTGGCAGAAAAAAAAAAGACTGAGCATTGTGAATTCAAAAAATGTTTAGTTTTATCCTATCAAAGAATACGTTAAACATAATTACATTGTTCTTGATCATTGAAAATCTTCCTGATCCATCAGCTTTTCTCACATAGTGTAAAAGGGATTCACTTAGGGTTTAGGTAGCAGCATATGAATACGTGCCCCAACACTGAACAACTCCAGCCTGTTAGGTTTTTGCATGCTAATATGTCATCCTTTTGAAATACATTATACAGATTTAAAAAATAGTTTATTTTCTTTGCTGTTTTGATTTGTTATTTTTGAGACTGGGTCTTGCTGTTGCATACAGGTTGACCTCAAACTCTAGATCCTCCTGCCTCCAAGTCCCAAGTGCTGAAATTACAGTTGTGCACCACCATGCCTGGCTTAAAATAGTTGTTTAAGGAACAAAATTTTTTTATTATATTATTGTACTGAGGGTACATTGTGACATTTACAAAACTGCTTACAATATATCATACTTAAATTCACCCCTCCATCATTCTGTTCCCCCCCGATTCTTAGAATAGTTTCAACAGGTCCCATTTTCCATTTCCATACATGAGTACATAATATTTCTGCCATATTCACCCTCTTACACCATTTCCTTATAATCTCCCTTCTCCTAACCCTCAGACAGGGCTGTTTTACCTTCTTGTCCTCCATTTTTGAAGAAAAACAGACATTTTTGCTTGAGATATTGATACAGAGAGTTCCATTATGACATTTCCATGTATATATGTATTATTTCCTGAATTGGTCCACCCCCCCCCATTTTTCTCCTTTCTGCCTTAGTCCCCTTCTTGTGGTGATTTCAACAGGTTTTAAAATTCTGTATTCATTCTTGAATAGAAAGTACATCAACCATATTCATCTTCTTAACTTCCTTCTTTTCCCCTTCCCCTCCCATTAGTGACCTCCCCTTAGCATGTTTCCATTCTTGTCCTTTGCTATTTAGGTCTCTATTTGTTGTTCAGTAGGAATTTTGCTTTGGTATTATATCTACCTGTACATGCATTGTAAAGTACAAAATATTACATAGTTTGTTTTTTGTGGCACTGGGGATTGAACCCAAGTTCTTACACATGCTAGGTAAATGTTTGACACTTGGGCTGTACCTCCAACCCTTTTCTTTTGTGGTTGTTTTTCAGATGGGGTCTCGCTAACCTTTTTGCCCTGATTGGCCTCACACTGCGATCCTCCCATCTCCACCTCCTGTATAGCTAGCGTTACAGGCACATGAAGTTTATATTGTTTCAAGCACTTGTGTGTTTATTATACCTTCTTCAAGGGAGACTTGGGCTAAATAGAAAGCCTTGGAGGTTGATTTGAAATAATCCCAGATTATAAATGTCTTTGTCATTTGTCGGGGAATGAAACCGAGGTACATAGACCCCTGGGTAGCCTTCAAGGCTACTACTCACAAAATTGAACTGTGTTAGGACCAAACTCCCAAGGGCTCTGCTCTTCCCTATCACCTCTGTCAAAGCGTAGACTTTTAGGAGACACAGGGAGAATTGCAGGGTCAGGTGTAAAGAATTTGAAGTTCTCAAGACAAATGCCTCCTTTTGAAACAGGAGCCTCTTCCTGTTCAGCTTGTAGCAAGGGGAGACAGGCTTTGTTCAAAAAGCTCCATTAATATTCTAAGAGAGCCGGGGAACCCAGAGTTTGGATCCCTATACACAGCAGAACGGTGTAGTCTCTGATTCTAGGCAACTCTGAAGGTCCTCCCTAGAACAGGTCCCCAGACTCCCTTCTGTCACCCCACCCTCCCACCTCACTGTCTCAGCTACTCCCATGGCCAGCTGCTTTGCTTCCTTATATGACCCTCTATCTCTATAAAAGTGGTGGCAGTAGTCATGCTATTATTGTACATGTTAGTAGAATTTACCATTTGTGGGATATCTGAATCCTAAGATGTTCTGCTGTTTTACATAATTTTCATTTTGCCTCGGAGCTCTGCTTAGGGAGGTGTTATGACGCCCATGAAATGCATGCAGTGCTCTTAGCATAGCACTTGCTTGTCTCCCTGTGACATCTCCTGAGAGGATAAGCTCCACGGAGGCGAGGAATTTTGTCACTCTTGTTCCCTGTTGTATCACAAGGGCCTAGGACGGTGCCTGGCACATAGCACTGCTCAACAAATGTTCATAGAATGAACCATGCCTATCATTTTCTAGCTATCCCTGCTGTTAGAGATGAGCAAACTACAGTTCAGAGAGGTTTAGCAAGTTGGCCAATTCACAGCAGGAAGAAAGTGGCAGAGCTGGACTTAGGACCTGGACCCACCTGGCTTGGAGCCTGTGGTATCCTCCCAACCCCTCTGCTGCCTGCTCTAAGAAGAAGGAATGATTCTAGTAGGAATTAGGAGATGCCCATCAAGCAGCCCTGAGTGGGAGAGCTTTTGGGTATGTGGTACTTGCGTACTAGGTGATGGGGGAGATGGGCCTTGCCTGTGTGAATGGGAGCCGGGGTGCATCCTGCCTAAGCCAGGACCATACACTCCTCCCTCTTGAAGGTTTCAGGATGATTTATCAGCTGGGAAACCCTAATTAACACAGCTTACATTTCTGCAGTTGTCTAACCCTTTCTTGGATTGTGCTGCCTTATCTCTTTAGCAGATGGCTCGCTTCCCTTGACAGGCTTCTGCTCTGGCTCCTTCCATTATGTTGATGGTAAGGGCCAAAGACAACCTAATTCAAATTTCACCACAAAAAAAGTAAAAAGTGTAAATGTATAAGATGATGGATATGTTAATTAGGTTGATTGTAGTGATTATTTCAGTATATACACATATGAAAACTTCAAATTGTACATCTTAAAATATTTTAAATTACATATATTTATTAAGTCTACCTGGTCTAAAAGGAATATGACTTTGGGAAATTATTTCAATTAATCAAAACTAATGTGAAGATCACATATACTTTGGGAGAAGGTGGTAAATGATAAGCAAATCCAGTCTTCTGACATATAAGTAAGATGGCTTGTTCTCTTTTGCTTTGCACAGATAAGACATTGTGATTTTTTTCTCCATTGTTTAGATAACTAATAAAGTTTGCTGCTTTTCCAAATGTAATCTGGAAGTGTTTTATATCTGTCACCTATATTTGAAGCTCTAGGCAGTGTTTTGTAATGATACCTACAGAGACCCACCACAGCACAAATGACACACTTACCAACTTTCATTCTGTGTTTACCTATGGGTTCTGTGTACATAGGTGTCACGTTATCAAACTAGAATTATGTTAAGAAGAAGCAGCATCTCTCCCTGCTGTCCCATCGTGAGGTCACATACATTGAAGTTATAGAATATACTTGGATATATATTGGATAGACTTATATTACCTTTTTGAGCGAAGTAATATCCCAGTTCTGATTATTTCCTTAAATAAACCTGGTTCTTTCCCATTTCAGTCAAGGCAATTATATTTTTATGAATTCATGAAAATGATTCTCCAGATTGTTTTATTTTTATGAATTCATGAAAATGCTTCTCCAGATTCTTTTATCCTTTGTGTTTGCTATTGATTTTTGCTTGCTTACAGACTCCTAGGGGCCTTGGGAAATAAATATTATATATTTGCCCCAGGCAAGACCATCCTCAAGTCATCCTCAAAAGAAAGCTTACTCCCTTACTCTGAATGAATTCAGAGATGAAAGCATCTGTGAGGCACCATGACAATAGGTCATTTACTTCGAAAGACTTTCTTAATATCTAACCTAACATCTTTCTCCTCTGATCTTGTTCAGAAAAATAAAAAGAGCTAAGAATGCAAAACATATCTTTTCCTGATTTATAAAGAGGGCTTTGCTATGTAGCTTTTCTGTTTGGGGATTGAATAAATATTCATATCAATATAAACACTAATGTGTTCATGCACTGGATGTCGAAAATGATCAGCCCATGAGTGTGGGCGATGGTTCACTCCAAAGCTGTCAGGACAGGAACAAACGGTTCTGGTACCTTGTAGATGAACTTGCATTCTTAGGGTTTCAGAAATGATTTTATTTTTGTTTATTTATTTATTTTTAGGTGCATTTTGACCAATTTAAAGAAGCATTGATCCTTATCTTGTCTAGAACTCTATCCAGTGAAGAGCAATTTCAAGAACCAGGTAAGGCCTACATTGCCCTTTAAAGCTTGTCCAGGGAAGGAGGGGTGAGGGGGTTGGGGCGCTCAGTGATAGAGCCCTTTCCTGGCATGTCTGAGGCCCTGGGTTCAATCCCAGGTTGCCGGGGGGCGGGGTGGGGGGGAATGTGGGAACCTTGAAGCATGCCTGTGAAGGATTTGGGACATCTGTCTTTTACAGATTGAGCAGTTATTTCCAGAGACTTCTTTTTCATATTATTATAGAAGTCTTGCAGCTGTTGGACTGTAAAATGAGACTTCTTTTCTGCAGTAGTGTATTGTGGAAAAAATAACTGAATTGTTTCCTAGACAATGTGTCAGATGGTGTGGCAACAACTCATTCTTGGAATGGGCAGAGTGAAGGTGAATGGTAGCTTCTTCTCCTCATTTCCTGTGTACATGGAAACACACGATTTTGGGGAATTTTTTCTGGAAGAAGAAGGGTGGCCAGTCTAGAGATAATTCTGTATAGTTCTAGTAAGTGGCTAGCCCTCTGCTATGGACATGACCACACGATGTTACGATTATTTATCAGTCGTTCACACTCAGTGCTAGCTCCTTGAGAGCCAGGGAGTTCATTTTTGTATTTCCAGTGCTTAGAATTACTTGACGAATGTTATTAAATGACTTAATATTCATCAATTTTTTTAAAAGCACCATACAATATTAGACACATTGTTATTTTTTGTATTTCTGAAAAGAAATTTTTTCTTTTGCCAAATACGATGTAAAATGCTATTGGTTGTGAAATTTCAGTGTGTTCACATCTGGCTTTGGGGGTGTGTGCTTTAGAATCAAGGAAATAATGGTAACTATTTAAGAGAAAGTATAAACAGTGTAGAAATGTGTATTAAAGTACAGTTTATCAAATCAGTGTGACAGTGGTTGTCATGGGCTAGCGGTAGGGGTTGACTATAAAGGTACACAGGGAATTTGGGGGGTGATGAAACTGAAACTGTTATCATTTTTTTGTTTGTTTGTTTGTTTTTTGGTTAGACTGAGGTTTGAACTCAAGGCTCTGCAAAGCAGGTGCTCCAGCACTTGAGCCACACCTCCACTCCATTTTTTTCTGTTTATTTTGGAGGTGAGTCTCCTGAACTATTTGCCTGGGCTGGCCTCCAGCTGTGATCTCCCAATGTTAGCCACCTGAGTAGCCAGGATTACAGGCATGAGCCTCTGGCACCGGACTGAAAGTGTTTTATCTTGATTGTGATGGTAGTTGTGTGACTGGAGTTTTTCCAACCCAAAAATTGTATGCTATAAGGCTGAAATTTATTCTAAGTAAGTTATACCTCAATAAATCTGACTTAAGAGAACATCAAAAATAGAGTCCATTTTGAGATGAAGAAATCATGAACTTTTCATGGCTACAAGGAACCACTTAGTGCAACCTATTTAGATGAAACACAGATGGGAGCTCACTTCTTTTCTTACTGGTTTGTTCTTCATGGTACCTTCTGCACAGTCCAGATTTGGCCATATGTCTGAACATTGCTTTCAACGGTGTTTTGGATTCTGGATTAAATCCTCCCTTTTTACTAATAGTGACCATTTTAGGAAGGTGATTCTGAACTTTGATGCTTGCCAGAGCTCTCTGGAAGTCCTAGAGAGCCTGGATGAGAAAGGTTATTGTAGTCTTAAGCTTTCTCCAGACTAATAGTGGAATTTCTGTAAGTCACCATTGCTGAAACATAGGCCTTTGTTATTTGTGGGCTCTCACATCATACTGATATTTTTACCTTTTTAAAGTTTCTCCCCTTGATAACAATTATGTAAGATCTAGGACCATGAATAAGATGGTGATGTCGTCGCCCCTGATGTTAATAGGAGCATATATTTATATATTTATACGGACATAAAGTTAGTGTCTTCAGTGTGCTGTTAAGGTGCTTTTATATGGGTTTGGGAGGCAACGCCCTGCCACAAGTTCACATAATCCTTTTTCTGCCCTTTCTTCAAAGCCATACTGTCACCTGCAAGATTTATGGTGACCACAGATGTTGAGCGTGCCCCCTAGAGTTGTGCAGTGTTGGAACCTAGGCAACAGGATGAGCTAGGCAATGGCTGGTTGAGCTTGGGAACAGCCAGGATGCATAAAGTTGATAAATCTCCCTCCAGATGGTGGCTTCATAGTTATGTGTGGTTCTCACTGTTGTGCAGGCAGAGGCCATAATTTGAGCCAGTTTTCGAGGATAGCACACAGAAAGGATTTTTATAGTTTCACCATGTGTCCTATTTTATGGGTAACTGACAGCAAATCTTTGTGACAAACCTACCCCAAATCAGTATAATCAGCAGCCAGGTACTTACTGATAGCATTTTAGCCAGCATTTAAATGACTTCCCTCACATTTGTCCTGGCTGGATAAAAATCTCTGCCTTAAGAGCATTTTATCTAATCTGAAGCATGAGCCAGCCCTTCCTCCCTCATTCCTTTGTTCTGAGCATCTCTGCTTTGTCCTTTCCCATCTCTCCCTGGCCCCTCCAGTTGTTCCTGGTGGTAAAGTAATTCTTTCCACTCAAACATTCTTCCACCCACTCTAAATCTGACTCTTCCACCCCTCAGACTGACTGGCTTGGGTGGGCAGAGACAGAGGGAGAAGGATCATGACTCAAATGCAGTGTATCAGGAGGCCACCTGAGCTCATTGCTCCCTCTTCCTTGATGAAGATAAAACTGTCCCTTAAGTCACAGTCCATTGCATTTTAGGGCTGGAGGGAACTCTGCCATTTTATCAAACTGCAAATGGAGGCCTAAAGAAGGGCAGAGCCTAATGGAAATCTCACAGATAATGGCAGAAGAGGATGCTAACAGTGCATTGTCAAGGTTTAGTTTAAGGATTTTTATCTTCAGGTGGATGAGGTGGTCCTCTGACAGTGCAGGCATGGCCCAAAGAGTCTTTACAAGTGGCAGAGGCAGCAGGCAGTGAATAAGAGCAAGGTGTGCCTCATCTTTGGAGATGGGGTTGCCCATGGCCTCCACATTTTTGGGCTGTACAGGACTTAGTCCGTCTTCTGTCACACTGGGCCAGGTCTGTTGTATTTTTGCTTTGCCTTTTGAAATCAGTGGTCCTGTAAGACTTGGAGAGAAAAAGTGACCCTTAAACTGTGGTGGACACATAAAAGATAGGAAAGCTGTAATGTACAGCCTTAGAAACCCACAGTCATAACACCTAAGATTTAAAAAAAATTTTTTTTGGTGGTACTGGGGTTTGAGCTCAGGGCCTGTGCTTGCTAGCAGGAGCCCTACCACTTGAGCCACTCCCCAAGCCCTTTTTTGCTTTAGTTAGTTTTCAGGTAGGAGCTCATGTTTTTTGCCCTTGACCTGTGTAGGACTGAAATCCTGCCACCTACAGCCTCTTCTATAGCTGGGAACACAGATACATGCCACCATACCCTCCTTATTGTTGAGATGGGGGTCTTGTTATCTTTTTGCCTATGCTGGCCTCAAATCCTCCTGATCTTCACCTCCTGAATAGCTGGGATTACAGACATGAGCCATTGTGCCCGGATTATACCTAGCTTGGCCTAGGAGTTGGAAAATACTAACTCTGTCTGTCTCTAATGAGGTTACCTTGTATGTTACACAGATTAATTGTATTGTTTTCTAATATCTAAGTGAATTATCTAAATCTGTGGGAAAAAAAACTTGCTTTGTGTTTCTGTAAGATTTCACCTAATGTAAGTTGACGCACTGAAGTTCTAAGGACAAGTACCTGCTATATCTCACCCTTTCCTGTTCTTCTAATAAAAGGCAGTTGTATATAAATAATACAAAAGCAAAGCTCTAATGGGATTTGAGAGGATATGAAGTTCAGTCATTATTTCCACAGTCTTGTGCTCTGCCATTTATAACTTCTCTGAGGTACTGTTTCTATATTATTTTAAATGAAGGGGCATGGACTAGATTATTTTCAGCATCTTTATAACTCTATATATTTGTGATCCTAAGACTCTGGAGGTTTTTTTCCCCTTAAAAATTAATAACAGCAAAATGAAAAATACTAAAATTCAGATAAGGACAAAAAAATGGGTTGGGGATGTAAGGAGTCCTTTGTACAGTAACCTGATTAATGTTGCTAGTGGCAAAACTTCCTCATATCTGCGTGTACAGTTTAATTTTAAAATTATTTTTCTGGGATAAGAGAAGGGCACCAACTTCCTAGCTGTTTATTCAATTTGTGATGCCTTTGGCTGATTGGATTTTTGTAGTGGAAAACTGGCACACACTTGAAGCTACAAGGCATCGACATGCTGGCTGGATCCAGTCTCCAGAGATCTTTTCCTTGTTTGATGCATTTTGCATTAGATTTCTGTTGTGCAGTAGATGTTAGCATAAAGTTGAAAGCCTTTGCTTTCCTGATGTGGTTTGTTGAAAAGGTCTTTCCTTTGTTTATTGAAGAGGAGAAACTTGGGTTTGGAAAAGCCAGCTCATTATGAAAACAGGTCTAGCTAGGTATTGTTTTGGTGCAGATAATTGTTTTTGTAACAGTCTTCCTAATTCCAGGAACCACCCCAATTATAATTTTTTCCCTCAAATTTTGAAGAAGCTGTAAATGTAATGAACAGATTCTTTTCCTTCACTTAACAAATGTGCAATAACGTTCTGTGACATGGAACTAGGCTCCATTCTGAGACGCTGCAGTTGAAGGCCTGTGTTTGTAACTATGTTGAGAGGCCTTGGGCTAGGCTCTGAAGTCTGGTGAAGTTCTTGGTTTAGGGAGGTTTTATTCACAGGTGGCCCAGGAGACTTGTTCTATGTTCTGTCTTTGACTAAGTAAGAGCTTAGTCCCTGTTGTCTGGGTGTCAACAAAATGCTAATAGTGAGGACCAGAAGTTTTCTTCAAACCACCACCACCACCACAACAACAACAACAATAAAAGAGAGTATTCAGAGTGTGTTTATAAGGTCATGAAATTGGAAACATGCGTGCCTACAGGTGGTCATGCAAAATGATAGAACCTTTCTAGAATTATATAATAGGTAG